TTCTTGATTAGTAGGAAAATCAAGGGTTATAGGGAAAATGCAGGAAAGTGGATGTGAGGAATGTGGGAACAGCCATGATCATGTTGAGTGGCAGAGTATTGAGGGACCGAACAGCCTGCTCCTGTTTCTATTTCTTGTGGACTATGGTCTTTATGATCTTAGCAAAGGAACAATACCAGGCAGCTTGCCGTGTTGGTCGACAGTCATAAGTTAAGGGGATCAGCATGTTGCTATGTAAATACACATCTACACCATGTGCCAACAATAAACACGCTGCAAGTGCTGCAAGCAAATGGTTATATCTAACAGCTTAAGGATGGTAGCCCTCAGTCAAATCTAGGAGTCACCCTTCAGTCAAGAGGTCCCAGTACAGTAAGTCAAGGGCAGCCTCCAATACCAGTCAGGGGTTTGGGCATGGAATATTGGCTAGTTGAGGTAATCATGGTCAGGGGCTCTATACCTCTAAAGTCCAGGGAATGGGCCACAACCACCCTTGTAAATCAAATGGAACCAGTGAAGAGAGTTGTGGGAAGACAGTCGAAGAGCTGTAGAGAAATAAATCAGGGGCCTAGTCACCCATTTTTCAGGGCTGACTGGCTAAATCACTCAAGGACCAGTCCTGAGGGTCCATCCACTAAATGTCAGGGTGTTTATCAGGGGTCACGTCGGTAGAAGGGAGGCTGGGGAACGTAATTGTGGGGATTGGAGTCAGAATGCTGGGATGCAGAGGTGAATAAAATAATGAAGGGAGTCAATTCAATGTGGGAGAGAATTGAACTTGAGAGGGAAAGGGGTCAGTGAGAGAGGGGTCATCAATGATAAGCAGTACATGGTGACATGGTGGGGATTATGTTGTACCAAACCTGCCATGGTTACTTGATATGCATGAAGCTGTTGGTTTAAAGTGGATGTAACCAAAAAAATGAGATGAGGGCAGAGCGGTAGACATTGTCTACATGAACTTTAATAAAGCCTTTGACAAGGTTCCACATGGTAGACTGATTAGTAAAGTTAGATCGCATGGGACTCAGGGAGAGCTGGTCAATTGGATACAAAATTGGCTTGACGAAGGGTGGTGGTGGAGGATTATTTTTTGGACTGGAAGCCTCAGACCAGCGATGTTCTGCAGGGTTCACTGTTGTTTGTCATTTATATAAATAATTTGGAATAAAATTTAGGATGAATGGTTAGTAAGTTTGCAGAAGACACCAAAATTGGTGGTATAGTTGACAGTGAAGAAGATTGGAATGGGATCTTGATCAATTGGGCCAATGGGCTGAGAAGTGACAGATGGAGTTTAATTTGGATAAATATGAGGTATTTGGTAAAACAAACAAGAGCAGAACTTATACAGTTAATGGTAGGGCCCTGGGTATTACTGTTGAACAGACAGACCTAGGAGTTCAGGTATATAGTTATTTGAAAGTTGCATCACAGGTAGACAGGGTGGTTAAGAAGGCATTTAGTATGCTTGTGTTCATTACTCAGACCATTGAGTGTGGGAGTTGGGACATCATGTTGAAGTTGTACAGGATATTGGTGAGGCCACTTTTGGAGTACTGTGTAGACTTCTGATCGTTCTACTATAGGACAGATGTTATTAAATTGGCGAGAGTTCAGAAAAGATTTACAAGGATGTTGCTGGGAATGGAATTTGAGTTATAAGAACAGTCTGGATAGGCTCTGACTTTTTCACTGGAGTGTAGTAGATTGAGGGGTGACTTTATAGAAGTTTATAAAATCATGAGAGGCATAGATAAGGTGAATAGCAAAGGTCTGTTCCTAGGGTAGGGGAACTCAAAACTAGAGGGCATATTTTTGAGGTAAGAGGAGAAAGATTTAAAAGGGACCTGAGGGGCAAATTGTACACACAGAGGGTGGTTTGTATGTGGAATGAACTGCCAGACGAAATTGTAGATGCAGGTACAGTTATGACATTTAAAAGACATTTGAACAGTTCAATGAATAGGAACAATTTAGAGGTGTAAGCAAGCAATTTCGAAGCCTTGGGGTTACGAAACTAAGGCATGGGCACCAATGGTCAATTATAACTGAAATACAAAGACCAGAATTGGAGCAGTACAAATATGTTAGGAGGTTGTGGCAATGTGATTATAGGGATAAGACAGGCAAAGTCAATGGAAAGACCTGAAAATGAGGATTTGAATCTTAAATTTAAGATATTGCTTGTCTGGGGAACCAAGACAGGTCAGTAAACACAATGGTATTAGGGGACTGGGACTAAGAGCAAGAGAGTTTTGGATGACCTCAAGGTTATGGAAACTGGTATGTGGGAAACCAGCCAAGAATATTGGTAAAGTTGAGTCCAGGGGTAACAAAGATATGCTTTGGATTTCAGCAGCAGGTGAGCTGAGATGTGTGGACAGGAATTTTGCTGAGATGGAAATAAGTGGGTCCTAGTGAATGAATATGTTGTCAGAAATTCATCTTCGGATCAAAAGTGACACCAAGACTGTCAACAGATTGTCATAGTTTCAGATGATGGATGGAATCAAAAGCTAGGAAATGGAGCTTAGAGTGGAGTCATTTGATGGAAACAATACTGAAGCTTTCATCATCACAATCCATAACTGCAGAGTCAGAAGTCACATGACACCAGGTTTATTTGAAATCACAAGCTTTCTTAGCATTGCTCCTTTGTCAAATGAAGTGAAGAAAACACACAGGCGCAGAATTTCAAGGCAGAGGGATCAAAAGATTATACAAATGGTATGAGTGGAGTGTCAACAAGTTGCTGCAAGTGGTCAAAAGTGTCAGATGGTGTGAGTAAATTGTCACCATCTGAATAGCAAGTGAAGGGATGACCTGTGATCCGATTAATTGAGGCAGAGAGATAATTACAAAAACAAAATAGTGCTGGAGACAAACCAAATGGCTGCAATAACTTGACAGGTATGAGAGTTTCCGAGGGTCTAACCAAAGTAACAAATCATCCAAAACTGTACAAACTGATTAATGTAGAGCGATCATAACAAGTTACCAAGGTGAAGGTGTCAAAACAGGACAGTAAGGAAGATTTTACAAATACAGAACAATACAGTGTTGTTACATGTAGTATATCATGAACCCAAGATCACAGTTGAGGCCATCTTCCTAGGAACGGAACTTGGCAATCAGTTTCTGCTTGGCAATTCTGTGTTATTGCGTATCTCGAAGGCTGCCTTGGAGGACACTTACCCAAAGATTGGAGGCTGAATGTTCTTGATCTCTGAAGTATTCCCTAGCTGGGAGGGAGCACTCCTGTCTGGCAACTGTCACGCGGTGTCCATTCATCCGTTGTCATAGAATCTGCATGGTCTCGCCAATATACTGCAACTTGCCTGTGAAAGTGCATGTTGTGACAGCAACTTTTGGATTCCTTGAGTAAAGTGTATCATGCAATGACTATACAAGTTCTGGAGCTACAGCAAGTACGTTGGATAAAATCTGAGGCTTGGCCACAGAATCCCACAACTTCCAGCAACTTCAGGAGGTTTGTGTGAGACACTAGATTAAAAACTTTCTGCTCGGTGATGAGGACAATATAACTGGGCTTTCTCTGAATCTTACAATGTCCCATGATGAAGTGTAGGTGGAACTAAGTAATGAGGTTTTGGTTTAAATTGACCATTTTTATATTGTTTCCATTGTAATATTAACAAGGTCGAAGAAGCCATTTTAAAAATAACTCATGGCTCCTTCAACCATTTCCTACTCTGCATTTTGTATTTTGTATGAATTGCATGTACTAATTTTAAAATACTGTATTAAGTAATAGCTAGTCTTGTCACAGATGTTTGTAAAGTAATGAACCTTGATGAAGTTATAATTAGCTAATTGATATCATTAATAAACATAATAAAGATAGGATTCTGATTTAAAGTATTCTTGAATAAGAACAATATAAGTCTTCAGCTTGAAGGTTTATCAAACATTTCAGTAAGACATTGTTTGAACAAAGGCTTATTTCTGAAGCTTGATAAGTACAGTACCTCACGGCTTTGTAAAAGTCTGTTTTAGATAATCTTGTCTAGTCATCTAATAAATTGATAGAGTCATACATTCCTTTCTTTTTTGTATCAAGTGTTAACAAATGAAAGATGTAAATAAATACCAAATAAATTTACCAAGCAACATCTAAGAAACCAACTATTGTGTTAACATTAGCCTGACTTAGAAATGGCATACTGAAGATTGAGAGAAAAAAAGTAGATCTCAGTAGGGTTTTCTCATTAGGGAGATTCTGAACATTTTACATGGCAATCTCCACAGCTGGGTATAGGATTAGAAACCTGAGGCAGCGAAAGTAACCTACTTTTCAATAGACTGTCCAAACATCTGAAGTTGTTAGAAAGTCACTTTAAGTTTGTTGAGTGTAATTTTCTTCAAAACAAACTCTCTTAATTTTCTAACCAAAGAAGTTTTGTTTTGCCTTAATTGGCTAAGTGTTGCCTGAGCAAAATCAGTTTATTAAGTCATTTACACTTGGAGTGACTGAAATCAAATTAATATTGACTAAATTGAGTTATAATTGACAAATAACTAATAATGGAGCCAGTGATGAAAAAATATCAATGGAATCTGCAGCACCCATACATTTTCACAAGAGAAAAGTTGAATATTATTTAACCTGATGCCTCGGATATTAGTTTTACTGGAATGCTTCGAGACTGAAACCAGATTTGGCCTGGAGAATATCCACGTTTTTTAGCCTCAGATGGGCAGTCATGAGCTAGTGGCTCCAGTCACTCAGCTCCAAGATCATTACTGTCTCTCATTTGATTTGATGCTAAGCAAGATATTACACACCAGATGTCATTCATTCACAATCCCTTCTCTGCAATGGTATAAAATGAACTTCTTGCCTGCGTGGATAACACTGGAATTTCCAAAACCAGTTCAACATGCTACAGTAATGGTGTAACGAGATCATATTACAGAAAAGGGAATCAAAATCCAATTCTGACGGGTTTAGGTTAATTTGGACTTCATAAGAGCAGATGGACTGGCTGGTCAATGCAGATGAAATGAGCCGCACGATGTTATTGGCAGATTCGACAGAGGACACAGGGATCGAAGTGTACCGCTGGAAATTGGATAAGGCGAATAAGGCAATAGAATCCCTCTGCCTCTGCAGTCGTCTGTGTATATTTTCTGCTTCAATCCTCCCTCCCCCTGGAGTTAATAGGGTATTTAAAAATATATATATAGTAAGCGAAATTTGGGAGAAAAACTGCAAAGGACGGACAATATTTGGAATGAATGGGAAATAGCAAGTAACTGGATGAGATCAGTGATATTTTTGGTTGTCTAAGAGAATACGTACTTCCGGTTATTGGGGCTGTGCTGTTCACATTGTTTCACTGAACTGCCTTAATATTATTTCGTTATTTGAGCTCTTAGCTTCCGGAACAGCAGGACTCGCAACTCAGTCAAGGTAGGAAAACCCATCCGGAAATCTTTCATTTTAAACTCCAATCAAAGAGCTTTTGAAGTCCCTTTGAGGAGAACTAAGTGTTTGTGATTTTTTTTATTCTTTTGGAGTAGCTCTTCCCCATAGATGTGTAGCGGTATCGGTCTGTAGTTTTGTATTTGCTGCTTGCGTGTGCCCACAGCTCCGCAAAACTGCCTTGATTGGCAGTTTAATCCGTCCCCTTTATTCATGCTGCAACTGACTTTTTTTGCGTCCTTTATACCAGATCAACCAAACGTTACTTTGCTGCTCTTCCCGGGGTAGGCTGTGATTTTTTTTGTTGTTGTTTCCTTGGCCGTTATCTTTGTAACGAGCACACGTTTGGACTTCTGAGAGCGCCGTGATAAAAGTAATGAAGTGATTGCAGAGACTGGGTTGTGTGAGTGATGTAACTGAACTGGAATCAAGATTTGCTACGTGCTAAAGAAATGTGACACAGCCGGCTCCCAGCATTAATATTGTAGAACTAGCTTGAACCTATGCAGCCTGTGCAGACTAGCAGCTAAGAATACAGTTTTCAACATTATTTTGACTGCTATCAACTAATGTTTGAAAACAAATCTGCGCCTGTCAGACTGACTGAGAGCAGCGTAAATCAAAGACAGCAGACGAGCAGAAGTCTGGCAATGAGCATAGGGTTATTTGTGCTTAGGTGAATTATTCTTTTTCTCTTTCTCTCTCTCGTCGCTAGCCTTTTTGTTACCCCCCAAGCGATTGCTTCATCGCACAACGTTATGGATTAGACAGACGCGCATAGACGCATTACAGCACCAGGACCGTCTTTTCTCTTCGCTTTGCTCCCCCATCACAATGCCAACCAGCGTGTGACCTTTTGCTTTGAATTTTGAAACAGTTCTTTGTTTTGTTTTATTTTTGAAAACACAATACAGTTGTGTCTGCATATCATTTAGTTGCAGACTGATTTGGGGTTGGGGTGTGGGGGGTGGAGGTGGTTGTTCCATATTATTTGATATCATATTGTTTACACCATTGCCGGATCTTAAACTTGTATATTGAAATTCTATTTGCCTCTAACTGGGTCCCTTTCCCGGCAGCCCTGAAGAGGACATTAATTTATCTGGTGCGACTGGTGTCATAACGCCAGTGTGAGGGAGCTCGACTGATCAGCAGCCTTGAGAAACGGATACTTTTCTGCCCAACAAATGAGTGCCAGGATACACAAAGATTTGTCGCTTTCTTTGTCCTCTTGCAGTGGAAACAGGAACTTTTCTCAAAGCAATGGCACCTGCGTGACCGAGGTGGGAAAGTTAATGTACTCTTTCTCCGCCACTGTGGTTCTTATCGTGTTGGTGACGCTGATTGTCGGTGTGATCGCCGTCTCCCTGATCACCTTTCACTTCCACAAAAGCAAAATGAAGAAGCGGAAGATGCAGAGGGCTCAGGAGGAGTATGAGCGCGACCACTGCAGCCCCGAGGCGCTGAATTGTTCCTCGCCCGAGGCAGTGGGGGTGACGGGGAGCCCAGCTTGCCAGGCGGCTACTGCCTCTCGGTCCCCCACACACACAGTGGACTCCTCAAGCCGCCCGAACCGAGAAGAATCCGAATCGGACCTTCACTGTACAGACACTGCAAGGAACCCAGTGTTCCAATCCGTGCTTTTGTATTGAACTACCCCATGACTGCACATAACAACAGACCATTGTGATAGATACTTGAACATTGCATAGTTTCAAGAAAACAGAGGGGAGGGGGAGGCGAGGACAGACACGGCGCATGGCAAATCACATTAAGCCCGAAATCTTATTTCTTGAAATTAAGTATTTGTGTTTATAACGACGACGCACATATAGCGGAAATGTATGTCAGTTATCTCCGGATTTCCAATTAGATGTATATTTCGTAATTTGATCGTCCATATGTAAAGTCCGAGGTTTCACATGGATGTGTAAAGTGTAAACGAGCGAAGGAGATCAACAGAGCGACATTGGAGCAACACTCATTCTGGGCACTGGATACACCTGAGAGAGCCGCGGACTCAGTTGCAATCGGACCGAGTCGCTGTCCATCAATCATAATACATTTGTATAAATAAAGGCAACCATCAGACTTTCCAGCTAAGTTATTTAGATTCCTAGATATTACCACCTTCGGTCCGTTTGTAAATGTGGTTTTGAATTCAGTGGGACGAAGACTGGGCACAGTAAACCGCTACTCTGACTAAACAGCCCCACAAAACAGAAGAAGATGGTTTAAGTTAGCTAGCGTTATGATCGAGGCTGTCTCATCCAGATTTGTAAGATCCAAAACTGACATTACTAACCTCAACTTTGTTTCAAATTTCAACATGTTGTATGTATGACCATTCTCCATTTTTCAGGGGTTTTGTTCCCTCTAAGTAGATTTGAACTGGGCTTGCCTTCCATTTCATTCATTTTATTGACAGGGGGTTTGATCAACAATCTATAGTGTCAAATGATATGCCTTACAGGATGAGTAATAGAAATCTAATACTGTCATAGAAACTATGAAAAAGACACACTTAGACACTAACTAGAGATAGGGCTTTGTTAATTAATCGATAGCAGCGCTTTAGATATTAAAAAAAAAACTTTTTTAGAAGTTTTAGGTCCGTTCTTGAGATGGTCAGTACAGCATTATTGAGAATGTATGAGTTTCATTGTAATCTAGCAGCTTGGTGGAAATCTCTTAGTAGCGTTTTGTTGAAGTATTCATATAGTCTGGCGTCCTTATGTCAGTAACTGGTACATAGAAGGTGAAATATTAACGTGGAAGTAACAACGAAACCTGTCTCTTTAGCTGTTCATGACCATCGTACTTTTCTAGGAGTTGCGGGCCTGGTTTCGAAAATATCATTTCGAGTCACGTGAAACATGTAGGAACCTAAGTTTTATGGTTCCTTTTTGGAACCTTGCCCTGTGTCCTGCCTTTGCTAAACGTGTAGCAATCGATTGGATCTGATGCGATTGAAGTGGCATTTTTGATTATTTTAAAGTAATGGTAGTTTCATTCCTCAAGCTAATGTACAGATTTGTATAATAACACTACTTCGAAACTGCTGACTTTAAGTAAATCGTTTATAATCGACAATGAGGAAAGGCGGTCTTTCTAAACGTTATCATTACTATCAAGTTGTAGATTTCGACAGGAACCAGTCTCTATCCATGTACAGGTGCAAATCTATTTAATTGACGCCTCCTTTTAATATGGAAAGAAAATGACGGCAATGATTAGGCAGCATCTATCCCTGAAACCACAACCTTATTCTTTCGGTCCACAGCTGCCGCCTGACCTGCTGAGTATTCCCAGCATTTTCTATTTTAAATTTCAGATTTCTAGCACCCGCAGTGTTTCAACGCTGATATTTTAAAATGGGGCTGTCCGCCGTCTGTAGTGCTGAAAAGAGCATTCCTTAGAGACGGTTGTCTGTCTGTAGGATTGGATCTAAACAAAACATCAAATACTGGCCAGTTCTGTTCCCGCCAGACTCCCAGCTGTCACAGTGTTACTAACCTCATCGTCACAATTAACTGCTCTAGAGAAATTTCTTATTAATAGTTCGCTATCCGAATCATATAAACGTCGAAGCTCATTGAATATCGCATCCAATAAAGTTATTCATTAGGATCAACACGTTTTCATTCCAAAGAAGTTTCTCTGTCGCTGAAATATTTTGGTTTGGTTTGCCATTAATTCTGGAGTATAGTATTTGATTAGAGAGAATGTACGTGTGATAAGCCTGATACCAAATGTGTCTAATCAACATCCTACTTGCAAAATACAGGTTTACAATTTAGTTTAGACTAACAGCACTGAGTATATGATTATTTCTTTGAACTAACTTGAAGTATTGCAATACTGGACTGAATTATTACAATCAGCGCTCAAGGATAAAAGTTTAAATCTCCAGAGAAATATTGTAAACTGGATTGCCAAAAACCGTTGGGTCTTGTGGTTTTAAGTATTTCTGGACACAGCTTACCTGCACAATTTATACATCTATTGATGTCTGTTCGTTGAATAGATTTCTATTTTAGAATGCTAAAGCAGTTCAACATATATTTACAACCTTGCTTATAAGCAGATAGCACCAATTGTAACGCTAGAATTGGCAATTATGAAAATAGTTTATTTGATTTTGCCGAACTACAATTATAGCATGTATCTGAACGATGTAAAGTCCTTAACTTTCAATCGCGTTTCAATTTTATCACACCTCCAAAAATGTACTCATCGAAAAAGATTAATTTATGCTTTAACAACAGTCTCCATGAGAACGGGGGAAGAGGAAGATCAGTATATGTACTTTTTTTATTCTCTGGTGCAGTTGGTTGGAGTCGTTTGAAACAGGCCACCGAAAATATTATGGGTGGAAGAGAAATGGAGTTCAACATGTTTTGCATTACTGATGATATACTTAATTTTTGTAAATGAAGTCAGTGATTGAAAGTGCATAATACAATGACCATTGAAAGCTTTGTCAGAGACTGAACAGCATTTGTGACACAATATAACAGGCATCATTCCGGTAGTTCGAAAATTAATCGCCGGTCGATTTCAAACAAAAGAAATTCTGGGCGAGGAGAACTGAATTACAGTGAACATTCTGTGTTAGGGGGGCCATGAGCATCAACAATTGCCATCGTTTGGGGTAATGAAGGCAGGACACCAGCTTTTGTTTTGGTGGCGTGAGGATGTGGTTCTAGCTGATTTGCCCTGAGGAACCGTTCGCTTGACATCTAGCTCGCTGTTTTTGTAACTGAGCTCACTGAGACCCAAAAAGTCGGTCGTTGTTTCTTTCGGCCACAGAAGAGTCTTAAACAGGGCCATATGTCAATTCTTCTTTGGTTTATTCTGACCAGGTTTGTATTCACAGCACCTAGAGTGCTAGAATGCAGAGGAAGACGGTTATTAGACTGTCCTTCGTGCTAAAAGAACGACCCACTTTCACTGTTATAAGATAGTAAGTCCTTAGAGAGGCTTCGCAGTTCACTGTTTATCATTTTCAAATACTTCTCCATTTCCTTTTATAGATTCACTTTCACCACCATCTCTGGTAGGATATCCCGTACTCAACAAATGTTAATACTTGCTTCATTTTCACTCAACGCAGATCTAAAGGTTCCAGACTTGTGAGACGCTCTAGTTAACAAGTTGTGGAGAACTATACAGGTAGCTCCAGTCAGCATTTTCATTGACTTGACCCTGTCACTGTTTGATCTAGAGCTTACACAATAAGAAAAGATCATGGACCGAATCGCATCCAATAGAAATTCTGAACTGAAGAGTAGCCTGTATCCCTCATAAATAACACCCAGCACCTACAAGGCAACGGCGAGCTGTGGTTCACTGTTTAGGTTGGGTGCAAGATTTTTCTTTTTATAGTGAAGGACTAAGAATGACCAGAGGTGCAACTATTCTCAGAAACTGTCTGATGAAGTGAATGCTTGGGTTTGTACAATGATTACAGGGTTACAGAAGAGCACTGGAAGGTCAAACTCATTGAAACTCTGTGCTCCTCTATCTTCCTCCTTGCGATAGGGATCTGCGAGTGCACTATTTACACATCCCATCGACCAACTAAATCATGTGTGCCGCTCATCAAACTTCCTGCTCCAAGCTATAGTCATTCAAGGCTTTTAAAGACTGCTCTCCCAATTTCTAGAACGCATCATTAACCTCGTCATCTCACTCGGCAGGTGATACTGCTGCAGCGCCCAGTGAAGATTTGGAGAAGGTCACTGGATTATTATTAATAGTGAGGCCACGTTTCAACTCAGCTAGCGACGCCGGTATAAAAGCAAAATACTGCGGATGCTGGAAATCTGGAGAAACTCAGCAGGTCAGGCAGCTTTTGCGGCTAGAGAAACAGAGCTAATGTTTCGAGCCCAGTATAACTCTTCTTCCGAACTGAGGATTCCCGATCTCCAGCTCTGGTTGATATGACATGCCAGGCATTGCCAACATGAAAAATAGTAAGCGATAAAATTATCGTGTGAACAGGCAAAGGAATGTATTCAAAATATGTGGCAGGAAATTCTATTTGTACTTTTCACAGACTCAGTGTTGTATCTAGTTTTATAAGAGAACTCTTAAAGCAGGGTTAAAAAAAAACCCCGTCAGAATACCATTTCAATCAAAAGTTCAGATCATTTTTTTTGTGAAACTTGAAAGGGCTCAGAAAGGATTTATAAGAATGTCCCCAGAGATGGTGCGTTTGAGCCATAGGGAGAGGCTGAATAGGCCGGAGCTATTTTCCCTGGAACGGCGGAATCTGAGGGGTGACCTTATAAAGGTTTATAAAATTGCGAAGGGGCATGGATAGGGTGAATAGCCGAGGTCTTTTTCCCGGGGTGGGAGAATCTAAAACTAGAGGGCATAGGTTTAAGGTGAGAGGGGAAAGATTTAAAAGGGACCTAAGAGGCATTTTTTTTTTCACGCAGAGGGTGGTGCATGTATAGAATGAGCTGCCAGAGGAAGTGGGGAAGGCTGGTACAATTACAACATTTAAAAGGCATCTGGATGGGTATATGAATAGGAAGGGTTTAGAGGGATATGGGCCAAATGCCAGCAAATGGGACTGGATTAATTTAGGATATCTGGTCGGCATTGACGAGTTGGACCGAAGGGTCTGTTTCCGTGCTGCACA